GAAAAGGCTTCACACAGGCCAGTTCGCTCATAGCTCATGCTCGCCAACACACTGGGGAGAAACCATATGTGTGTGACCGCTGTGGAAAAAGGTAATTAAGAAATTGCATGAATGATTTTGTTTAGATTCATTATGGCGCCATATATTAAAAGTTTGTTTCATCTATCACACCTCGAAGGTTTGTCCAGTCCAGCCAGCTGGCCAATCACATCCGTCATCATGACAATATCCGACCACACAAGTGCCACACCTGTAACAAAGCTTTTGTCAATGTGGGAGATCTCTCCAAACATATCATCATTCACACAGGTAAGATGCAACATTTTGAGCTTTTTCTTATGTATTTTTCTCTTGTGTGCTTCTAATCACTTCCTGTTTACAGGGGAGAAACCTTTTCTGTGTGATAAGTGTGGCCGAGGATTCAACCGTGTGGACAATCTGCGTTCCCATGTGAAGACGGTGCACCAGGGGAAGGCGGGCATGAAGAGACTGGTGGTGGCTGAGGAGGACGAGGAAGAGGAGAAGCTGCTGCCTGACTCCACACCGGACTCAGAGCTTAATAATGAGGTCAACATCGTCACGGTCACTACAGATGACATCGTGACTTTAGCCACTGAGGCACTAGCTGCCAGTGCTGTAGCACAGCTCACAGGTGAGAGAATATGAGAGGAGGGTGATAAAACTGATGAGGCTTTACACCTTGTAGAAAGGTTGTTCCTCAATACCAAGGGAATATGCCAAATCTAAAAGTGACCATAATGGCGGTTGGATGGTCTCCTGATATTATTTGTTGTCTTTGACCCCTGTAGTGGTACCAGTGGCAACCTCTGTATCTGCAGAGGAAACAGAGGCACTTAAAGCAGAGATCACCAAAGCAGTGGAGAAAGTACAAGAAGCAGGTGAGTAATATATAGTTTATATACTATATTATAATTGATTGATTTATTTGTATTGTAAGTTATGATAATATAATAATGCAAAATAAATATTTAATATTATTATAGATGATAATAATAATAATAATATAAATGATCATTTATGTTGCTTTATATATGTTGCTTTAATAACAAGTTACATGTAATACTACTAAATTTAATTATGTGTGTACCAATCAAAGGTTTGAAAGACCTCTCTTATGCTCACCAAGGCTCACCAAGGCTGCATTTATTGGATTAAACGTACAGTAAAACAGTAAAATTCTTGTGAAATGTAGTGCAATTCTTTAAAAATATATTATTACAAAATATTGAATTTTAAAGTGTAATTGATTCCTGTGTGCCATTACTCCAGTCTTCATTGTCACATGATCCCTCAGAAATCATTCTAATATGTGACCCTGGACCACAAAAAAATTGACCCTTATGACTGGTTTTGTGGTTCAGGGTCACATATGCTGATCTGGTGCTCAAGAAACATTTCTTATTATGATCATTGTTGAAAACCGTAATGCTGCCTATTGTTTTTGTGTAAAACATTTTTTTTCAGGATTTTTTGATGAATAGAAATATAATGAAATCTTTGATGAATATAAATGTTACAAAATTTTTCTAATAAATGCTGTTCTTTTGAAATATTTTGTAGCATTATAAGTGACTTTATTGTCGCTTTTGATCCATTTAAAACATCTTTGCTGAATAAAAGTATTAATAAAAAAAAATAATCTGACCAGTAGTGTATATAAATTAATTAATAAATTAATTATATAAATAAAAGCTGTTCTTTTGAAATGTTTTGTAGCATTATAAGTGACTTTACTGTCACGTTTGATCAATTTAATGCATCCTTGCTGAATAAAAGTATTAATTTCTTTCTTTCCAAAAAAAACCACTCCATCTGACCAATAGTGTATATATAAATTAATTATATAAATTATACTAAATATAAGCAAGATTTTTATTTAATATATTATACCCCTTAAAGCTGAATTTGATTTTTGTTACGCATTAATTAAATTCTAATAATTTAATAAAAATAAATTATACAACAATTAAAAAAAAACAAAATCATACTGTATCATATTTAAGCTGAAATATGCTGTTCTAATCCTTCAGATCCCAACACCCAGATCTTGTATGCATGTGACTCATGTGGTGAGAAGTTCCTGGACGCCAGCTCCCTCGCCCAGCATGTGCGCATTCACACTGCCCAGGCCCTGGTCATGTTTCAGGCAGACTCTGACTTTTACCAGCAGTACGCAGGAGATGGCACATGGCAAACCACCGAACAGGTCATCCAGGGAGGCGAGCTCTTGTTCCGGACACGGGAGGAAGACGGTGAGGAAGGAGAAGGAGCTCTAGCCCAGCCAGAATCTCAAACTGAGGGGGCAGAGGAGGAGACCAGTACACAGGCAGAGACTGAGGAAGGGTCTGGAAAAGTCGAGCCTGAAAGCCAAGGACAGTGAAGACTTTCTGACCTGAATCGGTCCAAAGGATGGAGAGATCCACATGGAGTTTGGACTGTCACAAAGTGTAATATTTCTCACCAGAGTGATGGTTATTACTAATTAATATTCTATAATAAAACACACTCGTATTTTGAAAATACTAGATAGATGTCTTATCTCAAACCACAGCACAATGTGTGTACAGCATATTAAAACGACATTGTATAGAGTTAAATTTAGATAAAAAGATGACGAAAAAATTTTAATTAAATAGGAACAAAACAAACCTAATTTGTATGCGGTTTGTCAGATCTTTTAATACTAGTGTCTCCCTGTATATCCTGTGCTAGATCATGTAATCTCTGTTTACTGAAGCCAATTAAACATATGACTGTCCTACAGGTTTCAGTTTTCAACAAATCAGCTACTGTACCGAACTTTTGTTTATTGATTGATGTAGTGATTCTTTTGTTTGTAGAGTTCAATCATTTTCTATTTGAGCTTAATACTGCTTGCCATAAACATAAAAAACATAAAACCGCTGATTTTAACTGTATGCTTATCATTTTCATAACACGCAGAAGCTGAAGAAACTCACAATAAATGCTGCTTTTAATTTTCCATAAATGTTGTAAGTGGCTCATGTTTAAAATGCACAATTTCTGATTCGTATTTTAAATGCTCTGTGTTTTAACAAATTGACTATCAAAACTCATTGCCCATTTAAATGAGTGATGTGTGTTGCAAGCAAATTTCTGTTTTTGAATATCACAGCTTTCATTGTCAGATATGACATAAATGACATAAGCCATATTCAGTGCTTAATGCTCAAAATCACCTGAAGTTTGCAATTTAATCGTTTGTTAATAAACCACTGTCTTTTGGTTGGTTGATTTTTGAGTTCTTTTTGGTCACTGGAATAAATGTCTGTATATTTGCCAGGAAAGCAAGGCACTGAGACATTGATGACAGCTTTAAAAATCCAATCAGTTTCGAAGCAGATAACAAAGCTTTCTGTTGAACACAGTTTGACATGGACAGCAGGTATCAGAGGAATGGGTACTTTGTAGTTTGAATGTCTTATGTTCAGTAATGGAGTTCCAGTGGAAGTCATTTCACACTGCACTTTCATGTGGTGTTTCAAGTCTCTTGCTAATTTATGGCCAAATATCTGCTTCAAAACAAGTTTCAAATGTTTGTGAATCATCGGAGCTCATGGAGCTTTACAAATAACAACAAAGACAAAAAATTAGGTAAATGAACAGAAAACAGGTATGGATTTTGATAATCATTCATATTTAGCTTCTCTTATTCTTTTTCATATATCAAATAAAACCCATTTTTAAGGAAACAAATATTATGATCAATACAATTATAAGATACAATTATACTTATTATACTTTTACAAGTAAGTTTAATAGGTTTCATAACCAACATATACATAAACTTCACATTCAGTTAAAATTGATTGGACTTCATTTATCATACACAAGAGGCTTGCGCTCTGAAAAGCACATAGTTGTGTTGCACTGACCCCTGCTGGTCGATAAAAGTTGATCGAGAGATTCGTAAATCCGTCTGTATGGAGTATGGAGGACCAAACCTGCAGAATTTATAAATAGATAAATAAATAAATATATGTAATAAAATAGGAAAATACATATTTTTTTTATTAATTATAATAAACCTTTAATAATAAACCTTTATTAATTATTTTCAGTATTTATTTTTACATGTATTTATTTATTTTTTTTACTTTATTTACTTATTATTTCACTTTTTTTTTTTGTATATATTTCTGCAGGTTTGGTCCTGTACCACAGGTCTGTAAATATTTCGTCTGTCTCATTATAATATTCATGAGTCTATGAGGCAGCACGCAAAAAAAAGGATATCGAGATTGAAGTCCCATTAGGAAGAGGAGAAATTAAATCAATTATAAAATCAAATATTCAAAAAGAGTGGCAGAAGAAGTGGGACATAGCTGATACAGGAAGGTTTTATTATAAAATTAATTCATCAGTTAAAGAAGTATACAATTTTGGAAGATGTAGGAAAGATGAGGTGATTTTAAATAGATTACAATTTGGGCACACAGGACTAAATGCATCACTATACAAAATAGGTAAACATATTACAGGTAAATGTGCTTTTTGTGGGGTAATAGAAACCGTTGAACATGTAATATTAAAATGTCGGAAATATAATATAGAGAGAATTAAAATGATAAAGAACTTAAATGGTAATAATAAAGAAAAAAACAGGATAAATTGGATATTAGGATTAAGAGAAGGTAGTAATCAAAGAATATGAATGGAATATATAGTAGAAACAGGATTAAATAAACGAATTTGATAGTTAAATAAATAAATAAATAACGCAAAGGAATAGGGGAACACACAAGCTGGGTTTTTTGGCATGTGAGCTGAACACGCAGCAGCCAGAAATACAGCTTGGGTGAGCCCGAAATAAAATTAACAATTAAAAAATAAATAAATAAAATATGAATAGAGGCGGGACTATCATCCATGTATGATTAGAAACAGTTGGTGGCGGTATGTGCCTATGGTGCGGAATACGCCAAAAAATTCCAAAGAAGAAGAAGAAGAAGAGGCAGCACGCGATTAGCTGCTGGCTGGGCAGAGGTCACGTCCGCGTTAGCGCTGACGTTGTCCAAAGGAGGAAAATGGCGATGGGTTGCTTGTCAATGAGGGACACCGCGACTCCTGCAACATTAACCTGCAAAAGACGGCGTGCTACAATGGTTCCCACGCTGTCTGGCGGATTCAGCAGAAGCACTCTGCTTGTTTTATCCGTGGCATTAATGTTGCAGGTAGTTTTAGGAGACGGAAAGACACTCGTTCTGCTGGATAATCCCAACATCAGAGACACTCATTCAATCTTCTTCCGCAGTTTAGCAGGTGAGCGACACGTTATCTGATATTGAACTATTTAAACCCTTCGAAATATTACACTAGCACCTGAAAATATGTTTAGTATGTTCGCGTAAATGCTATATGAGTAGAAGATGCATTTTGAGTCTATGTGAATCTGGTTGAATAATTGCACCAACATACATGTACAGACAACGAAAGGTATTGCACGTTTCTTTTTAAGTATTTAACCCACAACTACATTCTTGTTCTCAGATCGTGGGTTTGACCTTACCTTCAAAACTGCTGATGATCCTGGTCTCTCTTTGATCAAGTACGGCCAGTTCCTCTACGACCATCTCATCATTTTCTCTCCATCGGTGGAAGGTGAGTCCTGTTATAGTGAACCTAGATTTTATGTCATGCTGCCATTTTTATGTTTGAATATCCACGTTTGCATGTTTCCAATTGAACAGATTTTGGGGGCAGCATCAATGTAGAGACCATTACAGCCTTCATTGACGGTGGAGGAAATGTTCTTGTTGCTGCCAGCTCTGATATTGGTGAGTGTAGTATTTGTTTTGCATAAGTGCACACGTATTGGTCTGTTGACAGCAGTAATCTTTTTAACACTATGCCTTTGACTTTGGCAGGTGACCCTCTGAGAGAGCTAGGCAGTGAATGTGGGATTGAATTTGATGAGGAGAAAACTGCTGTCATTGACCACCATAACTATGACGCTTCTGATCCTGGTGAGGTCAGTAATGGATGGAGAAAAAAATACAGCTTAGAGCAATTTTTGATATGAAAGATTACATTTTCAAAGTCGACATGACATTAAAATTGATCCTGTATTTACTTACTTAATGTTGCAATGTTAATGCAAGTATCAACAAATCCTTTTTTTCCAGATTGTTATGTGCAAGAGAAGTAGATTATTGTAAAAGAATGCAGATCTGATTGCAAGCTTTTGGTAGATTGTAAGAAAGGGGCAGGATTTAAGCAGATGAAATTATTACAGAATTCGACCATCTGTCTGTATTAAAAATCATGAGCTCAAATATACTTTTAAAAATAAAACATTTCCATGAATTAATTGTTTAGAAAGATGTCTTTGAAATCCTGAAATATAATAATTTGCATTCCCTCTAAAATGTCACCTAGGCTCTTTGGCTTTGTTAACCAATAGTCACTTGTTTAGCCATTGTTTTAGGCTGTTGTTGAAGATCATGCACCCTTTTTAAACTAGATAATGCACTCATTTTGTTGCCAGTTATCCTTAATTTTTTTTGTCATGATTTACTCACCTTCTTGTTGTTCCAAACCTGTCTTGAGTTTGTTTCTTCTGTCGAACACAAAAGATATTTTGAAGAATTTTGGTAACCATTGACTTCCATAGTATAGAAAAAAATATTATTGAATATATAAAAATATTATTTTGTTACCGACATTCTTCAAAATATCTTCATTGTGTTCAACAGAAGAAAGACTCGTTTTTAGCTGAACTGTCCCTTTAATGTAAATAAGATTAAAGAAAGAAGAGCAAATAACAGTAGATGAACTTGACCTCCTGAATTGCCATTTCATGTTGAATCCATATTGTGTGTTTTACATTCTAAAGCCTATGTTTTTAAAACATATTGTTTGTTCATCATAATTTCAATTGATCAAATCATTGTTTGAAGCTTGGTCATGCGTTTTTATTTTTATTTTTTTACAGCACACCCTGATTGTTGCAGATCCAGAGAATCTTCTTAAAGCCCCGACTATAGTTGGCAAGCCCACTGATAAACCAGTCCTGTTCAAAGGTGTTGGGTAAGTGGTTTTGATACCCTGGTCTATGCTTATTCTGAAAATGTAACTGTTCAAGTTATGAGTTGCCTTTCTTTTTTTTCAGCTCCCTCTAAAATGTCACCTAGGCTCTTTGGCTTTGTTAACCAATAGTCACTTGTTTAGCCATTGTTTTAGGCTGTTGTTGAAGATCATGCACCCTTTTTAAACTAGATAATGCACTCATTTTGTTGCCAGTTATCCTTAATTTTTTTTGTCATGATTTACTCACCTTCTTGTTGTTCCAAACCTGTCTTGAGTTTGTTTCTTCTGTCGAACACAAAAGATATTTTGAAGAATTTTGGTAACCATTGACTTCCATAGTATAGAAAAAAATATTATTGAATATATAAAAATATTATTTTGTTACCGACATTCTTCAAAATATCTTCATTGTGTTCAACAGAAGAAAGACTCGTTTTTAGCTGAACTGTCCCTTTAATGTAAATAAGATTAAAGAAAGAAGAGCAAATAACAGTAGATGAACTTGACCTCCTGAATTGCCATTTCATGTTGAATCCATATTGTGTGTTTTACATTCTAAAGCCTATGTTTTTAAAACATATTGTTTGTTCATCATAATTTCAATTGATCAAATCATTGTTTGAAGCTTGGTCATGCGTTTTTATTTTTATTTTTTTACAGCACACCCTGATTGTTGCAGATCCAGAGAATCTTCTTAAAGCCCCGACTATAGTTGGCAAGCCCACTGATAAACCAGTCCTGTTCAAAGGTGTTGGGTAAGTGGTTTTGATGCCCTGGTCTATGCTTATTCTGAAAATGTAACTGTTCAAGTTATGAGTTGCCTTTCTTTTTTTCAGCATGGTGGCTGATCCAGATAACTCTCTGGTGCTGGACATTCTCACAGGATCCTCCACCTCTTACTCCTACTTCCCTGATCGCCCCATCACGCAGGTAAATATTTCATAGCTTTCAATGTTCTTTTTTTGTTAAATTCATTTGCATTCAACTCGATCTCTTTTTTTGCTTTCCAGTATCCTCATGCAGTTGGAAAGAACACCCTCCTGATCGCCGGTCTGCAGGCAAGAAACAATGCACGTGTGGTTTTCAGCGGGTCACTGCACTTCTTCAGTGATGCTTTCTTCAACTCCCCTGTGCAGAAGGCCACCCCTGGTTCAACGAGGTCTGTTATTTTACATTACTCTATATTCATATTATTATATATTAAAAATACATTTTGGTATTAGGTTGAAATCATGTGTATTCTTTTGTGTTTGATTAACTGTGAAGTTCAGGCCGTTAACGAAACTAACTGTGACATGATGAAAGATATATTCTCTATTTGTTTAGAGGTTGTTTGATGCATGATGTGTATATTCTTAGGTATGAACAGACTGGTAACCAGGAGCTGGCTGAGGCCCTGTCCCGCTGGGTGTTTAAGGAGGCTGGTGTTCTTAGGGTTGGGGCTGTTACCCATCATCCAGTTGGAGAGAGCACTCCCCCTGCTGCCTACACCATCACTGACCTTGTGGTGAGGCATGGCATATATTATTTATATAGGCATTATAGTTCATTTAACAGTTAACACGTGATTTGTGACTGAGAAGCAGGCAAATTCTGAAGAATGTCTTGGTTAGTTTTTTTTGCCATTTAACATTCACTTTCAAAGAAGCATGGTATGCTCCAAGAAACAAAGCAGTTTGGCTTACTGCTCCTGCTTGGATTGTCCTTACAGGAATACAGCATTGTGATTGAGTTGTTGTCTGGTGGAAAGTGGGTGCCTTTTGATGGAGATGACATTCAGCTGGAGTTTGTCAGAATTGATCCATTTGTTAGGACCTACCTCCAGAAAAATGGTATGTTATTATTATAATCAGCATAAGTTCATGCATGCTGATTACTGTTCAAAAGTTTAGGGTCACAGATATTTTTTTTTTTTTAAAGAAATCAATTTTTTAAGGATAAGGATATTGGGACACTGAAGAGTAATGACTGCTGAAAACTCAGATTTTTGATCACATAATGTTTTATGAATATAGTAAAATATAAAAAGTTATTTTAAATTGTAATATTTCACAATGTTATTCTTTGCTGTATTTTTGATCAAATAAATGCAGCCTTAGTGAGTTTTAAAAAAGTTTAAAAATTTAGAATGGTAGTGTTTGTTAATGATGTATGCCATTAAAAACGTGACTGCTGGTTGTTTAGGTGGAAAATACAGTGTACAGTTCAAGCTTCCAGATGTATATGGAGTTTTTCAGTTCAAAGTTGACTACAACAGACTTGGCTACACACACCTGTACTCCTCAACCCAGGTGAAATTCAAAATTCATTGTAAAACTTGCTCTTGCTCCAAAATGTCCTTGATATTTACTGATTCTTTTGTTATTCCACAGGTTTCTGTCCGCCCCTTGCAGCATACCCAATATGAGCGCTTCATCCCCTCTGCCTTTCCATATTATGCCAGTGCCTTCTCTATGATGGCAGGACTCTTTGTTTTCAGTGTCGTCTTTCTACATATGAGAGAAAAAGAGAAGTCTGATTAAAATGAGAATCAGTGAAGAGGAGTACAAGAAAATGTAAAAAAAAAAAAAGCTGATGGGCTTCGGACCTCTGGCAGTCATGATGAATAGAGATCTGAAATTTGTTGGTATGGGCTTGTTTTGGTGAGTTGGAGGGTGTGCCATTACAATTAAAAGCAACACTTGCACATTTTTTGAAGGGGGTTTGGGTAGTCTAACAAAAGATATGTTTTTGTTTTCTGGTTTACCATTTGTTAATTTAAAGTGATTTGGGGCACACTTCATGTTTTATTTGTACAAAAGGCAACTTGAATTGGTTTTATGATACAACATGCACTGATGCTTTGGCTCTTGCTATGAAAAGTTTGTTTTGAAAATGACCATTTGTAAAAAGAGGAATGGATGCTCACAATGTGGTTAATACACCTGAAGATAGTAAAGTTTTAACATTCCAACACTAAATCTTTTGTCCTCTGTTTTTCAATTGCATCAGATTTTATGATGGGCTTAGCAGTTATGAATAGTTTATACAGAACCTCATCTCTCAAATGTAAACTACATGGGCAAGTTTATAATTTTTTTATTTGTGCATTTTCAGTTACTGAATACATGGGATAGAAATAGTATGAATGTGTGACAATAGAGCCAACACTTTACAATGTGTGCATATATAACACACACACACAGAAGTGCATTATTATTTTAAACATTACTTTGATATAAACTACAGTTCAAACGTTTTGGGTCAGTAACGTGTATATATATATATTTATATATGTGACCCTGGACCACAAATCCAGTCTTAAGTCGCTGGGGTATATTTGTAGCAATAGCCAAAAATACATTGTATGGGTCAAAATTAAAGATGTTTCTTTTATGCCAAAAATCATTAGTATATTAAGTAAAGATCATGTTCCATGAAGATATTTTGTAAATTTCCTACCGTAAATATATCAAAACTTAATTTTTGATTAATATTATGCATTGCTAAGGACTTCATTTGGATAACTTTAAAGGTGATTTTCTCAGTATTTTGATTTTTTTGCACCCTCAGATTCCAGATTTTCAAATAGTTGTATCTCGGCCAAATATTGTCCTATCCTAACAAACCATACATCAATGGAAAGTTTATTTATTCAGCAAAAATTTACACTTAAGACTGGTTTTGTGGTCCAGGGTCACATATATTTATTTATATATATTTGACTTTTATCTTACTGACCCCAAACTTTTGAACAGAAGTGTACATAATTTGCACCCTTTTTCCTACTGTATACAGTGTAAATTTAGTATATCAAGTTCACCGTCACGTGTTATTTGCAAGAGCAATTTTCTTCAGTTTTTTGTTATCCAAATTATTAAAAAAATCTTTGCATGCTTTATGAAAGACAAGGACTGAAGTAAAAAAATCTAGATAATCCTGCCTCGGATAAAGGTCTAGGACAGACAGATTTCTTGGAGGCTAACTGTTAAATGTAGATTTAATTTCAAATAGTCATTACATCTATATATATATTTTTATTGTATTTAAAAAATTTTTATCAACGCAATAAGTAACTTTCAAGACTGATTTTTTTTTCATTCGATTCGTTCAAAACAGACGTGAGAATACGCGCTCGACGAATAACGTAGAATTAAACCGACAACCAGTTGTAGTCCTTACGTAGCGACTTGCTAGCAACTTGTTTTTTGTTGTTGTTGTTGTTTTTTAACAAACAGCTGTTTCAAAAATAACATTTGATGTGTGATTGTGTGTAATTTACGTTGTAGAACAAAACTTGAAAGTCTCCTCGAGTAATGTTAACCACAGAGCTTATGGCAGAAACCCGTGGCGGGTTGGCCTACAAATTGACGTCATCACTGAACAGCTCGTGGCCTGTGAACACAAGCGCGAGTCGACAGCGCGCGTCAGCTGACATCCGCGGAGAGAGCAGCCAGACATGGATCAACTCAAAGTCAAAGACAGGATCCTCGAAAACATCTCTCTCTCCGTCAAGAAGGTAAGAGTCCTCTATACATGCAGCGAGGATAAATACAGACCTTCTCTAGTTCATAATTTGAAGGATAGTTTGAGGTTTTCGTGGTTTACGCTATCAAAATAGTTGGGCCTCCCACCTCCTGCTGTGCTTTGAAGACAAACGCCTTGACATCTTAAGAAATAACATCCAGTGTTTCCTTATAAGTCAAGATTTAATAAATACCAGGTTAGACAGAGAGCTGTCAGTGCACTATATTGAGTTATTCTAGGTTATATTGTGCACCTATAGCGTATTAATACCTGTTTATCAGTAAAATAATATAAAAAGAAAAAGTCATTTTAGGCATGAGTCAAGTAAACACCGTTTACTGCATCATGGACACGTCAAACAGTGACATGATGCACCCGTAAGCAAGTCCTGTTATCAAACGAGATCCTATTAATAGGGCAAACAGAGCTTGCTACTTATTTTATGGGGCCATCCCAGGACATCCTGTCTTTTGTATGCAGTAACTTACTGAATCTTTGCTGTTTGCAACGTCAGAATGTTTGTGCTTTCTTTCTTTCTTGGTCTGTCTTTTGCTGCTGTGTTATTCTGAATATTAGCAACTTGCACACCCTGAAGTCGTTTGACTTAATCATTCAGATTTTAGCCTGTCAGGTGCTTGGCATTAGTACGTTCTCATGGTTTTATGATGGACTTATACACCAATGAGCTCTGCTTTCATCAGTGAATCACAGAACTGTGAATTCTGAAAATGCATTTCTCATCAGAGGTTGTTCATCTAGAATGAAAAGGATTGCTTGGAATGTCATGACTGTGTGCATGTCAGAAATTTACCAGACATTTTTCTTTCACATTCAAGTGATTGTTTTTTTTTTTTTAAACATTTTTTAACATTTAATCCGCAGTTGCAGAGTTACTTTGCCGCCTGTGAGGATGAGACGCCAGCCATCAGGAATCACGACCGGGTTCTTCAGCGGTTGTGTGAACACCTGGATCATGCTCTGCTTTATGGGTTAGACAAATTGCACCAGAGCATTTCAAAACCGAAACTCTTTTTAAGTAGACATTTGTAGGCTCACCGAACTTCTCTTTTCTCTACATCTCGAAGGCTGCAGGACATCTCATCGGGTTATTGGGTACTCGTATTACACTTCACACGACGAGAGGCTGTCCAACAGATAGATGAGCTCCAGCACATAGCTACCAATCTTGGCCGAAGTAAGATCAAACCTTTACCACCTATGATGACTTGTTGATGTGCTTTATAATTGTTGAAAAGTACAGAACCATTCAAAAGTTTGGAGATGGTAAGATTTGTAATGTTACAAAAATGTATATTTCAAAAGTGCTGTTCTTTTGAACTTTCCATTTATCAAAGAATACTGAAAAATTGTTTCACAGTTTCAGCAAAAATATTAAGCAGCACAACTGTTTTCAATATTGATAATAAGAATTGTTTATTGTGCAGCAAATCAGCATATTAGAATGATTTCTGAAGGATCATGTGACACTGAAGACTGGAGTAATGGCTGCTGATGAAAATTCAGCCTTGTCATCATAGGAACAAAATAATAAAATTAAAATTAATGAAATCGAAATCATCGTAATTATGTAATTATTTCACAATGTGACTGTTTTTACTCTGGTCTAAATGGTGACCATAAGAGACTTCTTTCAAAACATTAAAACATCTTACTGTCCCCAAACGTTTGAAATGTAAATATGAAGTATTTGCAGATATATTCAGATGTTGAATATTGTGGCACTGTGTGGACATTGTTTCATGTAGTTAACTATGACTGCTATGTTGTTGTTCCACAGGTCGTTCCTGGCTTTACTTGGCACTCAGTGAAAGTTCTTTAGAAAGCTACCTCCGACTTTTTCAAGAGAATCAAGGACTGCTCCAGAAATACTATTACAAGTGAGTGACTTTGAAATAATATTATTGTCCTTCTGTGGTTTCAGACCACAGATGAAAGCTTCCTTTCAGCAGTCATCTGATTTTGTGATGTGTGAACGCTGTTTCCGCCTTTACAGAAATGCACTGGTTTGCAGTCATGACCATCTCACTCTGTTTCTTACACTTGTCTCTGGGCTGGAGTTCATTCGCTTTGACCTCGAACTGGTATGACTCTTCATTGATTTCTCCTGTCTAGAATTAGACAGGCTTTTCCACTGTATGTCCTAGACCTGATGTGTCTCATACAGTTTAGTGCCAAACAACTGACTTCTCTTTACAAGCTGTAGAAAGTATATCATTAAGGTGCTCTGACTGGTCAAAAAGTTTTGTTTTAGTCAATCTTGCCTTCAGTAGTTCATTTTAAATAGCCCTGCAATGTGACAAATTAATTAAAAAATATTTACAAATAAGTATGAATATTCCATGTTGTCTCTCAATGTAAGGCATTAATTAATGACTATGTTTGTATAATAATTATAAAATAACTAGCAAAACTATTTCAAATAGTTTTAGATGGAGTATTGAATGCCATATACACTTACCAAACATATTTATATCAACTACTCACTTATAATGTCAAAATTCTGCTTTTCCCTTACTACATTTTGTACTGTTCTATATCTTCCATGACTGAAGATTTCAATATTTCCACTGCCTAGTGCCTAATTCTTAATCTTTTAATTGGTGACAGGACGAGCCATATCTGGATGTCGCTCCTTACATGCCAGAATACTACAAACCCCAGAATCTGTTGGATTTTGAGGAGAGGTTGCCAAGCTCTGATAGCCTGTCTCTGCACTCTTTCACATCCCTTACCTCCACTAACCTTGAGTGGGACGACAGTGCTATTGCCCCATCCAGTGAAGGTGAGCTGCTTGGCTTCAATTCACCATTTTTTTTCTCTACCTCTCTCTGTCTGTTACTTATTTTCACACTTTTGGATATTATCTTTCACTTTTATTCTTTCTTTTACAAGTTGGCTTATTTAAATATAATTGATTATTCTGTACCAAGATGACGGTAATCTTTGTTAAATATTGTTTATCTAAAAGATGAGGGAACTGAGTGTTCAGAAATCTCAGTGACCTTTCATGATCACACATTAATGCTTTCATTTCATTCAGTGACACATTTCACAGCTCATTATGTCCCAGTGTCTCTTTTCGTTCCTCATATGCCAAGTTTCACATTCACTTTATATCTCTTTCAGTTTCTGTTCTTCTTTCATTCACTTCATCATTCTTTCCTGCCTATTGATGAATCTTATTTCTCCTTTTTTAGATTATGATTTTGGTGACATCTTCCCTGTGTTGCAGTCATTGCCAAGTGCAGACTGGGAAGGTGGGACATGGTTATTTCCCCCTTACCCAATCTAACATTCGCAACCCCAACCAATCCATTAGTACAATTTAACCTACTAACCAGCACTGCATGGTCATTTCACTCTGTGCATGTTTGTTTAATGCACAGAAGCTGTTATAGGCAGTGTGCTTTTGATGATTTCATAGAT